GATTTGAATTAAAAAAAATTATAATTCTTTTATTTTAAAACAAACTTATAATTAAGTGAGCCAATCCGTTTAACCCATCAACCCGTGGTGGGTCGGGCCGGGTTCAAATTTTTTCAGCTCGCTAATAAGTGAGCCGGGTTGGATTGGCTCACTAAGTAACCAACACGTGGTGGGCCAGACCAGGTCAAGCCGGGTTACTTGTTTTGACAGCTCTAATAAAAATTATCTAGATCAATTTCAAGATAAAATAATTGTCGTTTAATTTAAATATATATATATATATATAGAGTGGCCGACATAGATCAAGAAACAAGTTTAGTTAGTAAAAAAAATCTTTATGAACTTTGACTAAAACATAACATCAAACAAGATTGACTAAAAATATCATCAATACTAATACTCTTTTAATTACTATCAAGTGTTTGAAATTTAACTAATTTTTTTTTGTATTTGATGGTAATTGAAATATTTTATTTAAAGGAAAAACAAACTAAGTTCAATAAATTTATTTAAATGTTTTAGAAATTATGAAATCTTTTATCCAGATATAATTAAACTTCTTTATGTTTTTTTTATTCTCTAAATCTGTGACACAAAAGTATCTTACTACTTTCAAATATTTGTTTAGTGTGAAAATAGAAAAATTGATTATACCCCTAAAAGGACAAATTGAGAATTACAAATTCAAAACTGAAAAAACAATGCAAACCGCATTAAATTTGTTTAGTTTGATTTGAAACTTATTAAGTTCAAATTGAGTCAAACAAAACAAGATATAAATTTTCTCTTTGGTTCCTATACAATTTTAAACTTTAAACCTCAAACCATAAACATTAAATCATCAATCAAACCAAACCTTAAACAAGTGAGACAATACTTACCCTCTTCAATGTATATATGTTCTACAACTTTTTCACCGTCTAACAACATTGACAATTAAAGAAATTGGTTAAAAATGGTCAAAATATATATTACAAATAAGAAATTAGTTATCTTAGAATTTATGAAGCAGGTATCAATAATTAAGAGTAATATTCCTTAGAACAGTATAACGGAAGTCTATTTGAAAGATTAAACATGAAATAATTAATAATTAATAAGTAACCTGAATTGATATATGATATTCACTCTCTAGAGCACCTTAGGTTTCTTATGTATTTTCTCTTCTAATGAAAATAAACTAGAATGATAGGCATATGGGGACAATGAACCCTTATGTAACCTCTGAAAGTTACTTTTCTTTAGTTTCAATAATTATAATTTAATCTCTTCAACAAATTAAAATTATCAAATTAAAATTATTGTTGTATACAATATATTTTTCATGACAAATATATCCTTAACAATATTTACTTAATTAAATCGATCACTTTATAAATTTGACTAATAAAATATAATGACCTTAATACATTTAATGACTTGTTATATATATATATATATATATATATATATATATATATCAATTCTAAAAGTTTAAACCAAAATTAGATTTTAAACACATCACAAATTATTCTTATCAGAAAATGAAGTGTGAATCTTTGAATAAATGGCAAGATTTGAGTGAATTGATGACTCTTGATAAATGTTTTTGAGTGTTGAAACACATGGGAAGATCCACATATAAAAGACTCTACTACACTCAAGTCAATAAGAAAGTTTGGATCTTTTTTTAGTAAAGATAGAGTATGAGAGAATTGTGTGCGTATTTATTGGTAAACTACTATGTGTAATTATAGAGTTTTTTTGTTTTAAAAAATGATAATATCAAAAGAATATCAAATAATATAAACAAATATAACTACTTATGGTTTATATGCTAAATTAACATAATAATAACAATAATGAAATATTGTACCTTGTTAACCATATATTTTGTTGATATATGGTATTAAAAGATATTATAACATAATCAAACTATTGAGATTTAGTTATATATTCTGTTAATATATGATAATTTTACCAAGAAATCTATCTTAGAATATTATTTAAATACTTTAGGTCAATAATATTAAATGAATGTGGTTGAGTCATGTCACTTAGTATATTAAGTCCCTCAAGCTCGGAGGTTTGATTAGTGTAAAGGGAATGTTTGTTGCTACTATAATTGACCATTTGGCCAAGTTGTATCTAGCTTTATGTTTGCAATTGGATGGGTTGTTAAACTGGACTATTTGTGGTCGTCTTTGACTTTGCAGGTAGATTCGTTGTTTGGCCAGATTGTATGCGATCATCTTTGACTTTGTAGGTGGATTGATCGTTTGGCTGAGTTGTGGGTGGTCGTCTTTGACCGTGAATATTGTCTTGAGCACTTTAAAAGATTGATTGGGTAGGATTTGATGTCTCTTATTTGAGCAAGCTTTGTGTTGTCGACTTAGGCAAACTTTGTGAGTGTTGCCGACTTAGTCAAACTTAGGTCCCGCTTGAGTGGGCTTAACTAATTCTATCGTCTAGGTAAGCTAAGGTGCCACCTTAATTGGCTTAACTTATGATATTGTCTAGGTAGGCTTGAGTGTCACATTTCTAAGCTTAACTTGTGTTACCATCTAGGTAACTTAGGTGCCACGTTTGTGATTTTTTGTTACCATCTAGGTAACTCTGGTATCGCATTTGTGGGTTTTTTTTACTGTTTAAGTAACTTGGATGCCACATTTGTAGGCTTATGTTATCGTCTAGATAACTCAAGTGTCACATTTGTAGGCTTAACTTATTATACTGTCTAGGTAAATTAGGTGCCACGTTTGTGGACTTATGATACTGTCTAGGTAACTCAGGTTCCACATTTACGGGTTTAGTTACTATCTAAGTAACTTGAGTGTCATGTTTGTGGGCTTTTGTTATTGTTTAAGTAACTTGGGTGTCATGTTTGTGGGCTTTACTTGTTCTATTGTCTAGGTAACTCGGGTACTACGTTTGCAGACTTGTATTATTGTCTAAGTAATTCGGGTCCTACGTTTATGGGATTAGGTTATTGTCTAGATAACGTAAGTGTTGTGTTTGTAGGCTTAACTTTATGCCACTGTCTTAGGTTGGCTCGTGTGTGTTTTTGAAAAGGAGAGCTTCCAGATTCAAGATCAGGTTTTTTATGATGACCAAGCTCTTCCAAGGTCACCTAGATAAAGACCAAGCGGTCACCCACAAGAAACAATGCCTCTCCAAAGCAACAAGTTCAGTCAAAGTCCAAGCATCAAGTAAAATCATATTAAAACCATCACTAACTATACTAATCGATTATTGCACTTATATAATCGATTAAAACATAAACAACATTTCACCATCTATTCCTAAACTACCATTAACCGATTAAGATGATTTCTCAACTGGGTGCCTCTTATAAATACAAAGCCCCCACTCTCTTCTAAATCATCCAAAATTTACAGATACTTACTTTTGAAAATAAATGTTTCCAAAAAGAAGAGAATGTGTTGAGTATTTGTAAGATTCTCCAATAGTGTGTCAAGATGATGGCATTCTACTTGAAAGAATCTCAAACTGTAAAATTTACAATCCAGGTGTAAACTTTTCCTTTTCTTGTTGCATTAACTAGTGTGTACAATTGTTGTACTATATAGGTAATTTGTTTATATGTAAGCGTGTGAAACCTTATATCTAAAGTTGTGCTAAGTTGTATAGAGGTTAGGATTATCAAGAAGGACTTATAATTTTGTAATCTTTGAAAATTTTAATGAAAAAGAAACCTTCCAAACTCAGGTTGTTTGAAAGAAGACAAGAGGTTCATTTTTTAACCAAACCAATATAAATCTTGTGTGCATTTCTTTTCTCATCTCCTATAAATATTTTTTTCCTTGATAGTGTGTAAAATTCCAAATATTTAGTAAGTAAACTTCTTTGTCAACGAAAAGATTTCAAGATTTCCATATAACCAATTTACACCCCCCCCCCCCCTCTCTTGGTTGAGAAATATTAGCCAAAATGTGTGTTTAACATGTGTTGTCGGAGTAAGGTTTATCTGTGTTGCCATCTTAGGCAGACTTTCTGATAGTGGATGTTTGTTCTTATGTGTCCGCAAGAGAAGCCTAGGGAAGAAAACCTCCCTCGCACTTGCTGTCTTCTTCGCTCTTACAAGTCTTTTCGTCCTTGAACTTTCTTTGTTTAAACTTTCTTTCTTTATGGTTACTTTCTGCAAAGTTATACAACATGTGATTATAGTTGTGGCACCACTAGCTGCAAACCACTCTTGGATGTTTTTCTTTGTGTTGTCTTAAGCGCTCTATAAGTGGACGTTTGTCCTTGAACTTATTTTCTTTTGAGGTTTGTCTTGAGGTGCCCTTGGTGATTAACTTTCCATTAAGTTCTTCTAACTTTTAGGCTTTGTTTTGGAGGGGGTTCATATTGCAATACAGTCCATCTCAATTGCGTGCAAGCTTTCCTTTTGCTTAAAGTCTTGATCATCGCGTGACTTTCAGTGAGTTGTTTGAGTGTTTCCAATTTATATCTTCTTTAAGTATTAAAGAGTTGATTTGGCTGGTTTTCTCTTGATGTGATTCAAAGGTAGAACATATCCTTTTGGTTGTATTCAAGAGTTGATATTGTGTTGTTTGTTGTCTTGTTTATATTTTGCTTGTGATGAGTGGTTGTATAAACATATAAAGATAGTAGATTCAAATTATTCAAGTTGAAGAGTTGAGATTGAATACAGTTGTGATTTAAACAAGTATAATTTTTTATCTTTCTCTTTTGCTATCTTTTTATCTTGTTTATTGTCCATCTTTATCAATATTGATTCCAAAATCAATTGCATTAAGTTTTCTAATTAAAATAGATTTTCAAAAAAAAAACTTAATAAAGGATAAATCTTTTGAAATCAAAATCAATTCACCTCCTCTTTATTAGTTTAATTTCATGTTCTTTTCTAATATGAAATGGATATACACTTGAATTGGTTATGTATGGATGACATGTGCTTAATGAGAATATGAAATAAGTGTTAATTATATAAATTGTTATTAATTTGTGTTAGGAAAAGTTATTGAATTGGTATTTTAGCCTTTTTGAGATTTATGTTGCGACATAACTGTGACAATGGTGTTGTTCTAAGAGAGTACATGATGTGGCACATGAGAAGGATAATGTGATACAAAAAGAGGATGTTTTTAATACATCTGAGATGCAAAAACTTGATGAATATGATCTTACAGAAAGGAAATTCTCAGATGGGTATAGTTCCCTGTCTTGCTCTGCTACTTTTACCAACTGAGAATCTGTCACTGGAAAACGATCTCTTCATTGAAATTGGACTCAAAACACAATGCAACACCCTTGTTTTGTACCTCTCTCCGCGTGATCTCTTTGATGGACCAGCTTCACTAGAAGAACAACACCCTTCCATTTGGGAATCTTCCTCTTCATGCATTCGCAGAACATCAGCAACAGAAACTCCACTTGGAAACGAATGGTCCATGGACACTGACCTACCAAGGGATTCACAAACTTCATCTCTTATCTCAACCACTCTGTGCCTGCCCTGAAAGCTACTCAAGTCACTGAAAGCACGCAATGCAGGCTTTGGATAAGCCCTAGAATGGTGTATGTTTTCTTCTTCCAACATCACCACCACTCCAACACTTTCATTCTCAGAAGAAGTTTCATTCCTTGAAGAAGGGACGCCTTCTTCTTCTGGGGTGTGAGCCCGAGGAACAGAAGCGTTGAAAGTGAATATGGCAGCACGACACAAGGGGCAGCTGGAGTGAGACTTGAGCCAAGGGTCGATGCAAGGGACATGGAAAACGTGGCTGCACTTTGGCAAAAGTCTAACACTTTCGTCGTCTTCAAACTCGCTGAGACAAACCGAACAATTGGTGACTTCAACAGAACCTGCATCCCCTTTCTTGTACTTGAAAACTGCAATTGATTTGATTAGAGCCTCGTCAAGACCAGCGGTTGAAGCGTTCCATGGTTCGTGGAGAGGGGGATTGTGAGTGGCTTGAAAGTCGTCATTTGGGTCTCTCCGTGAAGATTCTCTGGGGCCACAGTACTTGGATATGAGAGTGTAGTAACTGACCAGAAGAAAAGCAGTGGCCAAAATACCAATGATTGCAATGACAAGAGGGGAGAAATTTGGGCTTGAATCATCATCAGGGTACTCAAAGGGTGGTGGAGGTGGATACACTATGTAACACCACTGTGGACAGTACAAGCTGCAAAACCCTTGAGAACAGTCTTTGCTGTTCATATATGGAATCCACGTTCTGGGGTTGCCAACAGCGGCCATGGACACACACACACACACTATATAGTATATACTAACTCATCAATTATCTAGGAATCATGGTTTTCTGTCTCTCTATCTAGTGCGTTTTCATTTTCTGACAAGAGAAAGATGCTATTGACAGTTTAACAGCTCTGAGGACTAAATAACATAGGAGTAAGCAGAAGAGACTTGAATATTGCACATTATAAGGAAGTAAAATTAATGGTGGAAAAAGTTTTGTCAAAACAATGAATAGAAGCAAAATAAAGGGAAATGCTTATGAGTGCTAGAGAAAGGGAAAGAAGAGACTTGGCAGAACTCACGTCTCCTTCAAGACAAGAGAAAACGTGAATAAGAGGCCAAATGCTTTTGGATGGAAAGCAAGGGAACGACAAAGAAAATTGGACCTCTGCTTGGAAGACTTTAACTTTTCCTTTTCTTTTGCTGTTCATAGCTTCCTTTTTTTTGACCAAGAGAGACAAGTACGGATGGTGATGTTGGTTGGGAATTTATTAAAATGATCAATGCTTTTCGATTTTTCTTTTTGTCCTATATTTCCGTCGAATTAATGAGATTTAAATTCTTGATGAATTGAGAAGGAAAATCCTTATAGATTAAGAAGAATTCATTAATGCCTACAGCTATGGGAGGAGATAATTTGGCCGCCAAGTTAGTTGTACCTGCATGGAAGTGGGGTTATGCTATAAATTTTTCAACTTGTTTCATTATCAGGCTATTAAGCATAAGCCATGTAAAAAATAGAAAGATGTCTTCAGAACTTGCTGCTTGTACTTGAATATAAGCAAACCACAGTGTTCTTTAAAAAAGACTTCACAAAAAGTAGCAACGAATCTATTTTTCTGTGAACAATTTCACTTTTTCTATTTAATAAGATATGGTGTTCCACTTCGTCCTTTCTCTGTTCATCCTATTACTTTGCATGTATATTCTTTCTCCTCAGTTTAACTTCTTTGTGAGGAAATATTCCAATTTTAAAATATGTAACTGTTCAACGGTACCCCTATCCTCTAAAAGACATAGATAACAATAAACCAAACCTTGTGTTACACGACAACAAATCCTTTACTCAATTGGTAACCTAATTATGTTGCTGCTTCATTTGACATCATGATACATATATAGATAGCATATATTCATGACGGAATAAAGGTGCGGTAAGAAAAAAAGAAGGCTGAAATTATGGTCTGTTTTAAAGCTTGTGGTCAATTATAATTTTCACTTTTCAAGAAGCACTTAACCAACCATTTGCTGGGAAGCCCTTATCATATTTCACTGCATTTAATTTACTTTAATATTAACTCTTCATTCACATGTCATACTTCATGAAACAATATGTATTTGGTGTTACTAAAAACATGGTCTCACTGATTTAATTGGAAGAAATATATCTGGATATGATTTTGTTCTTAATAAAGGAAAACATTGGTTTCTCAGTATATATGTCCATATATAACAGTGAGACTTGTACTTTGTCAGGTTTTTCAGTTACATGAAATGAACTTTGTAATATGTATCTATACATATATAGATATACTTCTGTAGTGTTACTTTGTTAGAAATGTGTGCCATGGCCAGCCGTCGTTACAAAGGAGCAGCACAATGATGTGCACAAAAATCAAGAAATTCTTGACATGAGCCCTTTGGAGTATTTGGCATATCAATTTAAAAGGAGATGATCGGGTTCACGTCCGTTGTAAGCTGCTTCTTTCTTTTTTCGTGAATATATATCTGTTCAGGTATCTTTAGCAGGGAGAAGAAAATAAATGAGTCAGGTAGGACGACAAATATAATATATATATATATATATATATATATATATATATATATATATATTTCAAAATATGTCCAAATCTTGAAATATTTTCAAATCTAAAGAAGTTGGTTTAATTTTTTAATTCATTTCAAAATATATTAAATACATTCTGAAACACATTTAAAAAATATATTTTAGAATATACATTTCAAAATGTATTTCTAAAACTGAAAATATTTTTAAAATGCATATTGGGAAAAGTTGGATCTTATGCATCAACCTCTCTTTTTACATCAAACAGTAATGACTTATTGTAATTTTCAAACTAGAAAGCCCAAATCAATCAATGACATTCAATAAACAAGGTGGAAATTTCAACATATAACCCAAATTTCACTTGTTTATTAAAGAAATAATCATCACATGTTTGTAAAATGAGATTTTCCCACATCTTCCCTATTTCAAGTCCCTTCTGCACATCCTTAAAAAATAAACAAGGACTTAAGTATTAGAAACATGTTTTCCCACATATTTGTTAAAAGCCTCTGCATATGATGATTTTTAACAAGGACTTGAGAATGGTTACGTACATGATTTGAGATTTGTAATATAATTTTAATAAAAGGTAAATTTGGGTTATTAGGTTTTATAGGAGTGCAAAAAGAAAAAAGAGGTACAGGAAGAAACAACTTTATCTGAAATACCTCCAAGTCCAACCTCAAGACCATCACTACAATCAGAGCTGAACAAGCCCAATCTAAACTTCAAAAAGCATAACCAAACCCTCAACAAGCTGTTCCCTCTCTAAACACACCACCTCTTATCCTTTAACAATTACCACAAACAAGTTCTAACTCAAATGTGATAAAGTTTAGTTTCATTTTTTTATTAAAAATACATCCCAACCAAATGTAAAAATTATTTATAATATGGTTCGATTTAATTTGAACATAAAAAATATTTAAACTAAACCATTTTTACGGTTTTATTTAGATGGGTTTTGCGGTTTTATTTATAACTTGTTGTATTATATACATTTGATCTTATTTTTTTAGTATGATGATCTGATGTTATAGATGATGAATGATTTTACTAATTTTTTTATTAAGTACTTTTCAGATTCAACCTACCCTTTCTAGCTCTTTTTTTTTTCTTCCAATCAATTCGAAAAAATCACCCATCAAATCTTGAATTTTTTTCTCTTCAACATTTTGTATAGTATCAATGTTTATTTACACATAATAGTAACTTTCTTTTCTATTATCAACAAAGTAATTGGAGTAAACTATGAAGGTAGAAAAGGAGTGTACATTTTTTATAACAAAAGACGAGAAAAAAGAATAAAAATTATTATATTGTATTTATATATTATGACATAAATATTAAATAACTTCTACTTAACAAATTTCTTGAATACATATACATTGCACATAATTCAAAATACAAAATCAAAATCTATCTCTCTATATTATTTCTTCAAGTTATATTTTATTTTAATGTAGTATTTTTCTTTCCCAAAGTTAATAATATAGAGCTCACATCAGCATAACTATTCGTCAACGTTCATATGTTAAATATATTTCATAATTCATTTGTCATATATTTATACACATAAAGTACGATAAATGCATTAAAGTTTCCTCCCACACACATATGTCATATACAAGTGAAATAATCAATAATATAGTAATATTTTAATAATTGATTTTTAATTTTGTTTGAATTGGTTTCAAAGTGTCCAAACACAAACTAAAACAAGCTATTTGTGAGAAATTATTTAGTTTGAACACCAATACAACAAAATGATTTAAGCAATCCAAGTTGATCAAACAATCTTATCTTCACATTTTTAACCCTCGTGAAAAAAAGAAGAGAAAGATAGTGTTTTAAGTTTTTATTTCATTTGGCTCAAGAAATTTTTTTCAAGAGTCCCACTTGTGTTTTCAATATTTTTATTTCTTGTCACCACTAGTGAAAAAAAAAATGTCTTTTTATAGTGATGTTTTACCTAATTTTAACAACTGTTATGAAAAATCAATTCGTAATGTTTTTAAAATTAACATTTGCCAAACTACATTGAAAATGAGATGAAGTATATCGTATTTTACATTTTGTTATTAATTGAATTGATGTGAAATATACTTAAAATCTTATATTTTGATAAACTTTCTTATTATCTTGGTGAGACAATCTTGTATCATCAAAAATCTAGATCTGGGCATTGATAATTCAAAATACAAAATCATTTAATCCCATTAATCTGGCCATCCGCGTCATTTAATCTAGATTGGATAACCCATCCATCTCGACCAGCGTATCAGCTTGTCCATCATGTTAGCTCATCCATCATATCCAACCTGGTCATCCTGTCAACCCAACCATCTTATTTATTCTGTCCATTCCAACTAGCTCAACTAGATCGACTAGTTGGTCCATCCAACCATCTCGTCAACTCATCCAGGTTATCTTGTCCATCATAGTCATCTTGCCCAGCTTAGCCAAATGGGCCAGCCAGTCCATCTCGGTCATGCCGTTAGATTGTTCATCTCAACCATCCAAGTTTGTGTGGTTCATTTGTTACATCTTATCCATCTCGTCCATCCATGTCAGTCCAATCATCACATCCATCTCGTCCATCCATGTCAGCCCAATCATCACATCCATCTTAGGCATCAAAGCCAACCTGGCTAGATATGTCATATCGGTCATCCAATCAACCAGGTCAATCCCTTTAATTCTGTTCAGCCCGTTCATCTCATTCATTCTAGTCATCGAGTCAGCCCATCCATTATAGTCAGCTTGACCATATTCTCCATTCTAATCAATTTGGCGAGATCAAACAGTCGATCCATCATGATTATTCCCTTTAGCTCGGGGCACCAATTCCATCACGACCATCCATACTAGCCTAGCAAGTTCACCCAACCCATCCATCCCAGTCATCCAGTCAATTTGGTTCATCCCTCCATTCTAATCAGTCTGTCTATCCTAACCATCTTCATCAGCTTGGTCGTGTCCAGTCTGTCTATCTTGATCATTCTATCATCTAAGATATCTTATACATCTCGTTCATCCCAACTATCGTGTCAATTTGTCAATCCCACCAACTCAGCTAGCTTGTCCCGTTATCCATCCTAGACATCTCGTCCAAACGATAAATAAAAATCAATTCTGAGATAAAAAAAATCTAAAAGATGAAGCTGGACTTGGTTAAATACAATACTGTGCCATGAAATATTTAGTGCTGGAGTCTATATAAATTAAATATATACTGTTTATCTGGATGACTTAGATATTTTATAGAACAAAAACTAACTATTAACCATTGTTTCTCTCTGCAAATTGGAAGAATAAACCCTTTAGAAAAAGGCAATGAGAGGGTCGGCTACGTTTATTATCTATGACATTGACTTTTGTAAAAGAAGCGAATCTAATTCAGTTCTACCTTCTAGCTAAGGAAAGTTGTATGAGGTTATCATATAAATGGACAAGAATTATTCAATATCTTGCCTGCAATGCAACAAAAGTGAGGATAAGATTTAGCTCTTCACTGTGCCCATTTTTTTCGTAGCCCACAGTTTTTAGTAAATTAGTATTCAATCTTTGTATAAAATAAAAATAGAGGTGCTGGAATATATTTTTTAAG